AAGAACAGAGAACGGGAATAAATGCAGGTAAGTTGAAATTGTTTTCAACAGATAAGATAGTTGCGATTACAACTTTACCTACCCGAAACAAAAAACTTACTTCTGTGATATAGGAGAAGGGGAAGACGCTAGCACAAGAGCCCCAGATGCGTAGCAGAAAAGAGACAACCAAGATTCGGAACTCCTGTGGGGGAAAATATATTCAAGAAAAACAGCAATCTGCTTCTTTAAAAAACGGCAATAAGTAATGGGTCAAATGCACCCTTCACCATAACAACACTTCAGAAGTATCGCTCAATTTAATCAGCTGGCAAAGACGTTACGGTCGAAGCCTATTTGTTTTTGTTATCGTTACCACTGCATAAAAATTAGGTCTTCAATACTTAACAGCATATACTTTTGGAATCCGAATTTTTCTCACGTTGGACTCTAAATATTTAAGTTACCTAGGGCTATTATTTCTTGCCATTACTCGTTTTGTCAAGCGTCGTAAGCACAATCCCAAAAGCCTTAAACACCTATTCCTTGTACACTACGTTGCATTGTTTAATTAGCATTTACCTCAAAAAAAGTTCTACTCGTGATCGCATAATTTCTGCTGACGCTTGTTTAATTGAGGTTGATGCTGATATTTGGTGTTGGCAGTCGGGTTATTCCCTTATTTTCTGGCGATGCTTCGCAAAAATTTGACTATGCGTTTTATTCGGACCTGCTGTTCGGTAGTACAGTCCTCACATGGTACGCCATCATCACCCTTCAAAAATTGTGAAAGGCCCGACGTGTGGTGTCAGTATTATGATAGACCATCTCAGGAACCAATTGAGTCAACGTCTGTACTTCTTTTCCCCGGTCAAGGTTCACAGTTTGTTGGGATGGCAAAAAATCTTCTTGGAGTTAAAGGCGTAAAAGAAATGTTTGAGACCGCCAGCTCAATTTTGCGAACAAATTTACTAAAGACTTGTCTCGAAGGGCCGGCAGAGAAACTGAAGCAGAACATTCACTGTCAGCCGGCCGTATACGTTACTTCCTTAGCTGCGGCAAAAAAATTGGCTATAGACTCCCCAGAAGTATGTAATTTACAATGTAATTTTTGCCCAGTTAGTAGAAAAGTGTGTAGCAGCCGCTGGGTATAGTGTTGGTGAAATCACGGCTCTGGTTTATGCTGGTGCTTATACATTTGAAGAAGGTTGGTTTACCTGTTTTTCGCGTCACATGGGAGGATTCAAAATCACCTTAATTTACAGGCCTTTATCGGTTGGTGTTCAATTACTAACAACTGTGCTTGCCTGAATAAGCTAAATGCTTTAATCTTGGATTCTGGTTTTGATGCTTCAAGGTTGAGTTTTAAGATAGTAAATTCTTCGGTAAATTTTCGCGGGGTAGATGTGCGACTTTCATTGCACGGTACCGGTCCGATGACCTCCTTCAGGCTTTCATGTCTGACGTTCTATTTTGGAGCTGAGGTTCTTTTTCATTACTTCTTCAATAGGGTTGCACTTAATTCGCGTACGTGCTGAGGCAATGCAGCGTGCTTGTGATCTCATTCCCGGTGGAATGTTAACTGTTCAACTGTCGCACGATTCTCAACTTCGAATTGCTCTATCTGCTGCAGTGAATCATTGTAAAGAGGAATTGAAATTAAATGTTCCTGTCATTTGCCAAGTCTCCTGCTTTCTTGGCCCTGAATGTAAGGTTATTGCTGGAAATAATGAGGTAAGGTTCCTCACTTTGTTTCCCGCAAATTGTATTCCAGACCTTAAAGTTCCAATTTCGAGAACTCTAAGAGGTTTTTTCTCTGTCACTGACAAAGTTTACCTGAGCTCAGGTGTCTGGTCCTTTTAGTTTTATTGAAAATCTGTCTCCGGGTTTGTATCAATGGTTTAATGTGCGTAATCTCCCTCTAGGCCTTGGACTACATCATGGGACATGCCCAACACTTTCGCTTGGGGCCTCTTCGAAAGCTCGATGTAGCAGGTGCCTTTCATACACCTCTGATGCTTCCTGCTGTAGAGCCTCTGAAACATGCTCTCCAACGCGTTGGTTCTGCTCGTACTCCGTGCATCCCCGTTGTCAGTAATGTTGATGCGGAACCTTATGGAAAGGGCTCTACGGTTTCATTCCGCCTTACCAAACAAGTATGTCAGATCGCTGTTGTGTAGTTCATTGGATTTATTTGCTATAGGATGCTATGACATTCTATTAGCACTTCTCATTTAGTTCGTTGAATAATCTCTTAAATGTCTGGATTCTCGCACGCGTCTTTTATGCTTCTGAATCGTCAATTTCATGCAGATAACACGTCCATTGTGTTGGGAGCAGTCATTGCACGCGTTGTTTAGCCGTCCTGATGGCGCTCCTTTTCCGCGAATTGTTGAAGTTGGTCCTGGTCGCCAGCTAGGTGCCACTCTTCGCATGGTGAACACGAAGGCCTTCGCCCGCTACGAATCCGTACAGGTTTAACAGATGTTGTGAAGTCGCCTTTGTTCGCACTTTTTGGATGTAAATATGATCATAATGGGTTTGTGTGCCTAGTCGTTTAGTTAATTGTTCGTTTTACGGCCGGAATTGGCCCCAGCGACTTCGACAGGTTGGCAATTGAAGTTTATGATTGCTATTGAATTGTCTTAGGTGTTTTCTTGTTATGGTTTTGAAATGTTATAGGCTTTTGGAGGGCTTTTGTAGTTCTCTCACAAAGCTTTATCCTTTGACGTTGTCTCATGAGATTAAATCTCTGATGCTGTTTATTTCTACTGATTTGGAACTGGTGAGAGAATTTGGACGTTTTGAACTTATGTGGGAAGGTTAATTCTGCTTTGTTGTGGCAGACGAGAAAATTGGGTGCTTTTGATTTTACATGCATTGGATGGACATCAAGTTGTGTTATCAAGTTTTAAATTTTTAGGGTCTAAGACCCATTAGCTCTTTGGAAAATGGAATATAGGGTTATTTCACTGCTAGCCGCTTCCAGTCGACTCCACTTTTTCACCTTTTGAGTGATCCTGCGATTCTCAGTGTTGACGACTATCTCCTCTGGGGAAGTCTAGTTTAGACTGGTCGCTACTTTGCGTCGACCTACACTTTATGGTGTTAGTGGCTTTGAGGAATAACCTTTTTTTAGTGTGGGATCTGTTTGGGTCTCCTCTATGGGAGGGGTTATGACCAAACTCTTAGGACTTTTGCACACCAGTAAGCTGCTATGAAGATAATAAAAGGAAAAGTTCCTTGAAGGCTTAGGTTTGTTTCATGCATTAACAGGTCTGCCATAAGCGCCTATGCCCGCAAACATGTAGTGTAGCAAGACTTGGGTGGTGTTGTCAATTTGTATGGCAACGCTTAGTCTCATGCACATGGCTAGTCGAATGACATAAGTA